GAGGATGAAAATGATGGAGATGCGATGCCAGCCCGCCAGCTTCTCCAGGTCCCTCAGCACCGTCATCTGGAAAGTCACCGACACCAGGCAGTGGATGATGCTGGGGGAGAGACCTTGTGTCAGAGACCCCCACCCTGCCACAGCCCCTGCCCAGCCCTCCCACCCGCTGCCTGGGGCACAAGCCATCTTCCAAAACACCCTCCACCGATGGCACCAATGGCAGGGTGTCCTCCCCTCTTCTCTCCCAGCCTGTCAGAGATCACAGACCAGCCCAATGTCACCCCCACCCCCTGGGAGTGTGGGGATCACGGCTCACCCGGCATGCAGGAACAGGGACAGCCACAGGCGGTAGAACTGGTCAGGGACCTCCGGGTTGAGGAAGGGCAGGAGGCCACAGACCTCGTCCAGGCAGTGCACCTGCGAAGGCACGCGGGGTTGGTGAGTGATGAGGGCTCGGCCCACACCCCGGAGCCACAGGGAGCAAAGGAGGGGTCACAGGGATATGTGGCTGGTGATGCCACATGCCAGCTGAGGGCAGGGGACACACAGACGATGACCCTGTGTGGTGTGGGGCACCCGCACTGCCCAGGTACTGGGGAGGGAGCAACCGAGCATCCCCAGTGCCCCAGGAGATGCTGAAGGACCATTTTCCTGCCCAGGATGTGCCTTTCTCAAGGACACCGGCGCTGCCTGGGTGAAGCTAGCTCAAGTCCTGTGTTCCCTCCTGCCCCACACCAGCAAGGCGAGCATGCAGTGGCAGCAGCAGCCCAGCCCATCACTCACCAAGTCCCTGCACCTCGCACTCCCCCTGCTCACACCCACCCCGACCATGTCCCAGGACACAAAACAACCCTTCATCACCAGCATGGCATCAGGTCCAGCTGCTAGCATCACGTCCCGCATCCCCGGCCCTGCTCACCTGCGAGCAGAGCGTCGCTTCCTCGTGGAAGTAGCCGTGCATGAACTCGCAGTACTCCCGCGTTGTGATCTCGCAGCTGGGCAGAGGGCAGGCAGCGGGCTTGCTCAGGGCAGGGCTCACTCCCCGGCTCCCCGAGCATCCCCCTCTGCTCAC